AGATCCTTCCTTAAAAGCATCATCAAAAATGAAATGTCAAAAATGGAAAATGATCTCAAAAACTGCTGAAACCGGTTTGGCTCAGTGGATAGAGCATCGGCCTGCGGACTGAAAGGTCCCAGGTTCGATTCCGGTCAAGGGCATGTACCTGGGTTGCAGGCAATCCCCAGTGGGGGATGTGCAGGAGGCGGCTGATCGATGTTTCTCTCTCATCGATGTTTCTGACTCTCTATCTCTCTCCCTTCCTCTCTGTAAAAAATCAATAAAATATATTTAAAAACAAACAAACAAACAAAAAAAAAAAACCCTAAAAACGACATGGAAAATGAAAAGCAACACTGGCCCCTTGTTGCCAGGAAGATTCATATCCAGTATGTCATGTGCCATTTAGGAAGAAATGTTAGGCACATTCTTGTGCTTCATTATGCCCCATTTGGGGTTCTTGCCCTTCCCTGGAATGTTAGGCACATCCTTGTGCTCCATGAGATTTTCCTGTTATTTTCATTATAGGTTTCATTAACGGCCTTCAGTTTCCAGTAAATTGCCTCACCCAGTTTCCAGTGGACTGCCTACACCAGGCCCTATAGGTTACTTTAACTGACCTTCACAAGAGACATAAATATCCCACTCCCCCTACTCTGCTCCAGTGATGCATTTTGGTCGCAGCCCTTCTACTCACAGATGTAACAATCTATATATATATAAAAGCCTAAGTGACCATTACGACTGAACGACCAGAACAACCGGAATGACCAGTCGACCAGTCACTATGACCCACACTGACCACGAGGGGGAAGACACTCAATGCAGGAGCTGCCCCTGGTGGTCAGTGCACTCCCACAGCCAACCTCCCATGGCCCCTTCCCCCAGCCGGCTAGCCAACCTCCTGGGGTTCCTCCCCTCATCCGGCTGGCCCCCCAATAGGCCTCGATTGCTGGCCAGGCCAAGGGACCCCACACGTGCACGAATCTGTGCACTGGGCCTCTAGTAAATTTATAAATTCTTTACCACTTTTGGCCTTGTGTGTTCCTCCTTCAGCAACCCTAACAAAGAAAGAGGTTTTCTTTTTTCTTAGGAGCCTTAAGCCGCATTTGAGCAACAAGAGCACTAAAGCAGAGGTCTTTTTCTTTTTCTTTTAAACAATTTACAGTGTAACAATTTATTTTAGAGAAGGAGAGGGGGAAAGAGAGAATTATAGGTCAGTTGCTTCCCCTATGCACCCCAAACCCACTACCTGGATATGTGCACTGTCTGGGAATCAAACCCATGCTCCAACCCAGCCTCAAAAGCCAGAGGAAGGAAGACTTTACTATCGTGTTTAAGGGCAAACATCTTCTATAGTTCTTTAGGTTTCTCCTATGAAGTTTCATTCGCCTTAATGATCTCAGAATGTTGAGCAACCATTATCAGAGTGCTTACTGTCTTTATAACATCAAGCTATGCAGAACAAAGTTTTATAACTGCAAAAATCCCTGTAATAACAAACAAAATGCTAAGTCCAATTTGCAGACTAGATCTGAAACAGGAGGCAATACTGATGGCAGTCAGCTTATTAGAGAATCATGAAGTGTCAATGAGTTCTGTATTTAATCATTTGGCTTGTGTCTAGACTTTATCTAATTCCATCTTTATTTCACCAGAGGTGTTTTATTTAAGTACAACAAAAGGTATTAACAGTGCAAACCCCACCTTGATTAGCTAGGACATGGTCAAGAGTAATTCTATTGTCTAAAATAATTGTACAAGGGAATTTAAAGATTTTTCCTGTTTTGGCAGTAGCCCCAGCAATTTCCCTTCAAGTTGTTTACTGTCTGATTATGTATTTATTTACTGTAAATAAAGGAAAAAGTATTTTTCCAAATCTGGTATCTTTACTGAGGTAGACATAGCCAGGTATTAACATGTAAAGCACCCAGTCTGTTTTGTCTTCCGGATGGAAAGTATAGTGTCAGTCAGCAGTGACTGACAGGGCGCTTAATGTGTTAAACATCCTTGACTATGTGTGTAATCAGTTGTACATTTTGACCTTGAAGGTTTAAAAATGATGCCCTATATTGAATAATCTTCCTAGTCAGAAATTAAGGCAAAAAGGAATTATAGTGAGTGTTTGGCCTCTGATATTCCTTGTGAAACAGAAAGAACTGAAGGAAAAAAGGGAAAATTTGTGAGGTAGGAGGGAACTGAAGATAAAAAAGGGGATATGAACATGTAGACCATATAGTACTGGTCAAGTATCTTGGGTTAGTTGTCCACAACAGATGTAATCTGCTTTACATCCTAGTAATTTTGGTTGAGAAGTACAGTTAAGTATAAAACAACTTTCTTTAAATGGGAATCATGAATTCAATATCTCTGAAAGCAGAAACTACATCTACCTACTTACCACTGTAACCTCAGTGCCGAGCACAATATCCACACAGATTTGTAAAATAATACAGTGGATTGTAAAGGAGATGAGGGAGGGAAGGGAGATAAAGAACCTGGAATAGAAGAGAGATGATCAGAGTGCAAATGGGTGCTTTAGAAGGTGTTATTTTGCAAACTTTTGTTTCAGTTTTATGTATGTGTACATACACATGCATGTGTTTACTAAGTCATTATGTAGAATGTAATTTTTACCATGAGTTACAATCAAAAGTTTTGAAAACACTATACTACTAAATTCCAAAGCACACTTTACAACTAAACCAGCTTCACGGCATTTATTCCAATGGTTCTCAACTTTTATTTTTCAACCTGATCTCCCTAGGCCAGTGGTCGGCAAACTCATTAGTCAACAGTACCAAATATCAACAGTACAACGATTGAAATTTCTTTGGAGAGCCAAATTTTTTAAACTTAAACTATATAGGTAGGTACATTGTTATTAACTTAATTAGGGTACTCCTAAGCTGGCCTTTGCTAAAAACATCCTCAATCTGATTGAGGCACGTTCGCTGAGGTTGACCCCTTCCAACTCTCCCATTCACACTCGTCTATCTGAAACAAGTATACAAGATGAGTGTGGATGGGAGAGTTGAAAGGGGTCGACCTCGGTGAACATACCTCAAAACAATGTACCTCCCCCGCCTGCGCCGCATCTCCCACCGCCCTACCAACCAACACCCACCACTTCTTCTAACGCCACTTCTTCAAAATAGACTCGCCCAGGCCGAAAACTGACTTCTGCGCATGGGCCACGAAGTTTCAATCACACTGTACGTGCGCTCCCGCACGTGGTATTTTGTGGAAGAGCCACACTCAAGGGGGCAAAGAGCCACGGTTTGCCGACCACTGCCCTAGGCAATATGATATTCTCCCACAAGAAAAATAGCTCAAGAGAGCAGACGAGAAAAACTCATCTACTATTCCAATTCGGATATCTAACAACCAGAGGCCCAGTGCACGAAATTCATGTACTGGTAGGGTCCCTAGAGGCTGCCAGCCAGCTGGGGTCTCCCTCCCTTCCCCTGGCAGCCCACCCCCTGGCCCACCTCCTGGAAGAACTCTGTCAAGGGGACCATTTGCAAACTACACTTTTATTATATAGGATTTTCATATGGGTTATTCCTATGTCCCTAACCACCCTAAGATCTCTGAAGATGGAATTGCCTCTCCCTCTAATATTTCCCTCAAAGTGCTTAGCGATATATTAGCACATTCAACAAGTACTTACAGGTTGATGACCAGTTGCCCTCCTGAATAATTACATTGAAATTCACAAAACTACAGGAGTTAGTCCGCTACTACACTGACATACCAAAAATAAAAAGCACATTAAAACTTGAACGTAAATAAAATAAACAAATCTAAATACAAAGTTGTATATTAACAAGCCTTGCTGAATGCTACACTGAAAGATTCTACTAAACCCTCTGGATCAAATTATGTTCTCTGAAGGAATGAGAAACAAAATAAGCCGTGTCTTTTAGAGCTTGTGTAGGGGAGTACTTTGTAAACTCCAGTATTTGAAAGTGAACCCAAAAAATTAAAAACTCAATACAAAGGTGTTACCCACGCAGTAATCTACATCCACAAGTTTTCAGTTCATCTGTTACAGATTTACCATAAGAGCATACTCATCCTTCCATATCTTTTTCTATAGGTCTAAAAAACTTGATGTACATGTCTGAGGTCTTTTGGTCTCATCAGGTAAAATGGGAGACTAGGGAAATTCAGAGAACGTTCTAAAGATACTAAAGACAGGATGAAGGGCCACCACTGTGCAGGAGGCAGTCAGTCAATGATTCTCTCTCATCTCTTAACTATAGCTAAACCACCTGGCAACAACCAAATCAATTACCGGCCTACCAACTGCATTCATTATAGCCTATATTTTCCTTTTTTTAAATCTTCACCCAAGGATATGTTTTTATTCATTTTAGAGAAAAAGGGGGGGAGGGGAAGGAAAAAATGAGAGAGGGGAGAGAGAGGGGGGAGGGAGAGGGAGAGGAAGGAGAAAGAAAGGGAGAAAGGGAGATAGAAGCATCCATCGTTGTGCCTCCCGAGAGTGGCTCAGCGGGAATTGAACCTGCAACCTTCTGTTGTATAGGACAATGCTCCAACTGAGCCACCCCATCACCAGGGCTTCATAAACATTTATATATTTTTTAAATACATTTTTATTTATTTCAGAAAGAAAGGGAGAGGGAGAGAAACATCAATGAGAAAGAATCATTGATTGGCTGCCTCCTGCACGACCTCTAGTAGGGGGCGGAGCCCACAACCAGGGCATGCGCCCTGGCCAGAAATCGAACCCTTGACCGCTTGGTCCACAGGTCGATGCTCAACACACTGAGGCAAGCGTGGGGGGGGATCCTATATTTTAAAATAATTATTCTTCCCACTGTCCCGTGTGGCTCGGTTGGTTGAGCAGCGCACCATGCACCGAGAGGCAGGGTACGGGGCGGGGTTACCGGCTGATTCAGGTAAGGGGTATGCAAGAGGCATCCAATCGATGTTTCTCTCGCATTGATGCTTCTCTCTCTCTCTCCCCCTTCTTTTCTCTCTAAAAAATAAAATCAATAAAGTAAAATTTATTCTCATTCAATCTTTGAGCATTTCTTCATGGCAGGTCCAGTGCTAGTGTGGGCATAAAGTGCCCTCTTTGAAACTCAGAACCTAGTGGATAAAACAAACATCCGGTCAGCCAACTAGTATTTGCGGAGTGCCAAATATTGTAAAATGGCTTTTAGCATCAGTCGATTCAACTCAGGACTTGTTCCTATCGGCCTGGCATGGTTCTGTGTTAAAAGTACCTTTTGGCCCTGGCTGGCTTGGCTCAGTGGATAGAGCGTTGGTCTGCGGACTGGAGGGGCCCAGGTTCGATTCTGCCTTCCATTCCAGCCAACAGCACATGCCTGGGTTGGGGGCTCGATCCCCAGTAGGGGGCGTGCAGGAGGCAGCCGAACAATGACTCTCTCTCATCACTCACGTTTCTATCTCTCTCTCCCTCTCCAATCCTCTCTGAAATCAACAAATACATACATGTATATTAAAAGTACATTTTGCTCTAGTCTTCCCCAACCTGAAAATGAATAAACCCTTTCCCCAGGCAGGGACTGTCCCTCATAACGTCACAGCCAAGCAAAAGGCAGGCCCCAAGGAGGCGCCAGCAGGTCTAACGGGAAGTAACTGCTGAGGAGAATGCAAGTCCGCGGCTCTTCCGGGCTCCCATCTTGTCAAAAGGCCTCGGGGACACCCTAATCTGATTCAGTTTCTCCTCGGGGGAAGGGCAGCAGGTCCCTACCCTACCCTCTTCTGGGACTAAACCTGGAACAAATGGCACCACATCCAAACTCCGGGGATATGTCTGTCTGAGATCTGGTTTTTTATTTTTTTTTAATATTTTTTATTGATTTTTTACAGAAATATCGATCAGCTGCCTCCAGCACACACCCCTACTGGGTACGTGCCCCCAACCAAGGCGCGTGACCGGAATCAAACCTGGGACCTTTCAGTCCGCAGGCCGACGCTCTATCCACTGAGCCAAACCGGTTACGGCTTTTTTTTTAAATGTATTTCTTTATTGATTTCAGAGAGGAAGGGAGAAGGAGAGAGAGATAGAAACATCGGCTGCCTCCTGCACACCCCCCACCGGGGATGGAGCCCGCAACCCAGGCATGTGCCCCCCGCCGGAATCGAACCTGGGACCTATCGGTCCGCAGGCTGACGCTCTATCCACTGAGCCAAGTCGGCTAGGGCCTGAGATCTGGTTCTATTCACGGTATCCTCGTCCTTCCACATCTTTTCTATGGGTCAGGGAGCTCATAGGTGCCCTCGGGGGGTACAAAGTCCTTTTTTCCCTAGTAACCCAGTTTTCAAATAAAAGTCGGTTTCCAACCCTGACCTCACCATCAACTCACTGGGCGACTTGGCATCAGTCACCGGACCCCTCTCTCTCCCTCTCTCTGCGCTTCAGTTTCTTCATCTATAAAATGGAGCCGATAATCCTATCTCAGGGGCTCGCGGTGAGGAAAAGGCTGCCTGGGAAACGCTAGGCGCACACAGGGGATACTCGATAAAGGTGAAGGGGTCACTCTTTAGAGACGCGGCTGGATGACCAAGCCGAGGGGGCGCCGACTGAAGATCGAGCCGGGATGGGGGAGGGGGCAGAGGCGCGCCTGCAGGCCCGGCTGGCTGACATGGCGGGAAGCCGCGCGGGCAGGGCGGGAAGCGGCGGAGACGGACGGACGGGCAGGCGCGGCCAACTGCTCGGGCGCCAGCAGCCGCGTCCCCTGACCCGCCCTCCACTGTCCCATCGGCCCCTCCCCGGCCGCTCACCTCGCTTGATCACATGCATCCCGGCTGGTAGCTGAGGCGATACGGATGCGATTCAGGTCTGCAGCGCTCTCTCCTCCGCAGAGAAAGGCAAGACAAGCCGAATCTCCTTCCCGCCACCCGAGACGCAAAAAACAACGTCGCACGCATCACGTTCTCTACGCTACGCTGCCAGCGCCGGGCGGTGGGAAGGACCAGCTTTACAGAAAGTCAGCCTTGCTCATTAGCCACCGTTTGAACGTGGGCGGGGCCCAGGAAACCACGCCCCTTTCGTGGCAGCAGTGGGTGTGGGCACGCCCGGCGGGAATGCGACGCTCCCGCCGCCATATTAAGTGTGGGCAGCGTCCAGCAGCCCGCGCCGCTCCTGCACCTGCGTGGGGTACGGAGTCGACACTGATCTCTCGCCGCCAAGTCTTAGCCGAGCCTGGGACGGGACCCAGCACTCAGGCCCTCCGCTCTCGCCATTGCGTCCCCGCTGAGGTCAAGACAGTTCAAGTATTTTGAAATAACTAAAAGCCAACCATCCAAAACACGTTTTCTTATCTTGCCTCCTGTACTATTTTGATAACACGAGACTGCCGTCTGCTGTGAGCTGTAGCCTGGGATCCATAGCCGGAGGGCCGGGAGCCTCCGGCCTGTTATGTCAGCAGAAAGCCTAGCATTACTCTGTCTGATTGGAAAGGCTTGCTAGGCGAGGGTTTTACCCTGATGTAAATGGGAGCCCCAGGAGAGTTTTGAGAAGGGACAAGATCCGTTTGCTTTTAGAGTTCTTCAGGGGACAGTGGTAGAGACCGGGTCACACATAACGTCCTTGTGGAGGTAGAATAGACATGTCTTGGTGACTGATGTAGAAGCTGGTGATTTGGGCTACACAAACTGATTTTTATGAAACCTCATGTGGCGTTCCCTCCCTAAAATCTTGCATTGGTTTTGGTAGGGGCAGAAATAGAATAGTGGGGACTGGCTGTAATTGTAAGAAGTATTAATCATGCTCTGTTAACTGTTCTGTTCCGATTAGAGAAAGCACATTCTAACCTGGCTGACTTGGGCGCTAACATCGGAATGCAGTCCATCCTCCTTTTCTGAGGGCTGCCTATCATTATGGAAAGATTTACGACCTCAGATAGTCCCAGAGGCACCCACCCTTTGCAAACCCCCACCCCTTATTGTCAATAATCTGGTCCCAGAGGTGCCTGGAGGCACCCCAGAGGCACCAGCCCTCATTGCCTGTAACCATTATACCTTCCTACTTCCCCATGCCTATAATTCTTTAATTCTTACTTTCCCACATAATCTTTGTCCTTCTACCTAATGTAAGCAGCTGGTTTATGGGGAGGGGCAGAGCAGATTTTTGTGGATGACCTGCTGCTCTCCCATACTGCCAGCATTATTGGAATAATGCTTGCTTAACTGGCTCAAGTAGTGACAGTCAGCCCGGACCCATTGGTTGTCTTTGTGTGTTTAAGGATAAAATGTTTTATTTATTGTCTTATAGTAATAATTCTTTGGCAGTATGTATCCTCCAGATGCATCCCAATCTCCCTGAAAAATAATTTTTTTAATGTGAAAATCCTGGGGTTTTTTTTCAGTTACAGTTTACATTCAGTATTGTTTTGTATTAGTTTCAGGTGTACAGCATAGTAGTTAGATAATCACACACTTTAGGAAGGTGTTCCTCATGATATTTCCAGTACCCATCTGGCACCACACAGTGATTACAATACTAGAGGCCCGGTGCACAAAAATTTGTGCACTCAGGGGGAAGGGGGGTCCCTCAGCCTGGCCTTGCCCTCTCGCAGTCTGGGACCCCTTGGGAGATAACACCCTGCTGGCTTAGGCCTGCTCCCGGGTGGCAGAGGGCAGGCCCAATCCCTAGGTGCAGCCCCTGGTCGGGCTCAGAGCAGGGCCGATTGAGGTGTTGGGGCGCCACCCCCTGTCATGCACAGAGCAGGGCAGATGGGGAGGTTGCGATGCCACCCCCAGTCACGCTCAGGGTAGGGCAGATTGTGGGGTTGGGGCACCGCCCCCTGTCACACTCAAGGCAGGGTCGATGGGGAGGTGGCGGCGCCAACCCCTGTCATGCACAGAGCAGGGCCAATCAGGGGGTTGGGGCGCTGCCCCATGCCACACACAGACCAGGGCCCATCAGGGGGGTTGGGGCTCCTTACCCTATCACGCACGGAGCAGGGTCGATCAGGGTTGAGGAGCTCCCCCCTGTCACGCACAGAGCAGGGCCCATCAGGGGGTTGAGGAGCTCCCCCGTGTCACTCAGAGAGTAGGGCCGATAGGGGAGTTGGGGCGCCGCCCCCTGTCACACACAGAGCAGGGCGGATCAGGGGGTTGGGACGCCGCCACTGTCACACTCAGGGCAGGGCCGATGGGGAGGTTATGGCTCTACCCCATCACACACAGAGCAGGACCGATCAGGGGGTTGGGGCGCCGCACCCTGTCACACACAGAGCCGCAGGGCGATCAGGGGTTTGGGGAGCTCCCCCCTATCAGGCACAGAGCAGGGCTGATCAGGAGGTTGGGGCGCCTTCCCCTGTCACGAACAGAGCAGGGCGGATAGGGAGGTTGTGGCCCCACCCCCTGTCGCACACAGAGCTGCAGGGCGATCAGGGGGTTTGGGCACTGCCCCCTGTCACGCTGATCCCGGTGCTGGGAGGCATATTACCCTTTTACTATATAGGGTAGAGGCCTGGTGCATGGGTGGGGCTGGCTGGTTTGCCCTGAAGGGTGTCCTGGATCAGGGTGGGGGTCCCCACTGGGGTGCCTGGCCAACCTGGGTGAGGGGCTGAGGGCTGTTTGCAGCTGGTCACACACCCTTCAGGGTGGGGGTCCCCACTGGGGTGCCTGGCCAGTCTGAGTGAGGGGCTGAGGGCTGTTTTCAGGCTGGGGGTGACTGAAGCTCCCAACTGCTCGTTTTTTTCTTTTTCTTTTTTTAATTCTGGGCCAGCTTTAGCTCTGAGGCTCCACCTCTTAGGCCTCCGCTGCTGAAAGTAGGTATCTGGTTTGTTTTGGTTCGAAACAATGTATAACTCCAGCTCTGACTCCAGCTCTGAGATCCCAGCTCGCTGAAAGCTGGTTTCTGGGGTTTTTGTTAAAATGTTTCAAACTGGAAGAAGCGAAGATTGGAGAACTAAGATGGCGACATAGATAAACACCGGGAAATTGCCGCCTCCCACAACAATTGAAAAATACCGCAAAGGACAGAGCAGACATCATCCAGAACAACAGGAAGCCTGGCTGAGTGTAAATTCTACAACTAGAAGGAAAGAAAAGCACACTGAGAGCCAGAGGAGCTGCGGAGGTGAAGTGCAGAGGTACGGCGGCTCGTGCGCGCGCGGAAAGGGGGTGGCACCTGAGGACGCAGCTGTTTTTTTTGAATCACAAGCTCCCAACTGCTCTGAATTCCGGTTCCAGGAAGTCTCTGGGGACCCAGGACTCATACGGGGAGAAGCTGGACTGTCGGGAAGCGGGTGAACTTGAGTGTGGCTTTCCCTCAGAGGTGCTTGCAGCAAT